AAAATAGGAAAGCTGAAAAGAGCAGAGAGGCTTCTTAAAAAAAATTTGGAGGGTTTTTTTTTATTTTTGGTGCATCTTTATTTTGGAAAGATGCAAAGAATGGAAAGGAAACAAGACTTCTTTCTGAACCTTCCAAAACTTGCAGAAAATTGGTCCACCCAGGCTCCTCCTTCCTCTGCAGGAAGGATCTTCTTTCTCCCTCGGTCATTTTCTCGTTCTCTGTGAGGCTTAAGCGACCTGCTCACCTTCCTGCCTCCTTGCCAAGCGGGGACCCCTTTTGCGGTGAAACTAACCCCAGAAGAAAAAGCGATAGGATGGGAAGAGAAAGGAAGGCAGGGACGATACCTTCAAGGGTCATCCAATCCAGCCCCCTCAGCAGTAAGGGAGAAGCAAACCAAAGAACTCCTGACAGATGGCCATTCAGAGCCTGGTTAAATAAAACTAGAATTATAGCGTAGGAAGAGACCTCCAAGGGCCATCCAGTCCAGCCCCTTCTGCCATAAGGGAGAAGCACAACCAAAACACTCCTGATGGCCATTCAGAGTCTGCTTAATACTACTACTACTACTACTACTACTACTAATAATAATAATAATAATAATAATATCCTAGGGTAGGAAGAGACCTCCAAGGGCCATCCATCCAGGGAAATGCAGAGCACTGTGAAGCCAAGCAAAGATGGATCTGGACAAAACTTGGGACAAATACCCACATTTGAACACCAGCAATTGAAGAGCATTCTGAACTTTGCTCTCCCTCTCCCATGTGCTGCCTTTTTTGCACCATTTTCAGCACTCTGTGTGTATGTGTGTGTATATATATACACGCTCACATCTCTCCCTCTCTCTCTCTCTCTCACACACACACACACACACACTATATCTTCTATATCTTTTTGAGGGAGGTTTGGAGAGCGGCATGAGCTGGGCTGAGAGGCAAGAGGTGTGTGACTTCTCCCCTCTCTCCCTCCTCCTCCTCCGGCTGCCCAGATTGAAAAGTCTTTTTTCTCTCTCTCTCTTTTACTCCTCCTCCTTGCCCTAGACCTTTTGAGTTCTAGTCAGTCACCACCATCATGGTGCACCAGTAAACCTCTTCCCTAATGGAGCAGAGCATGCCTGATGGGAGGGGCAAAAGCAGAATGAATGGTGAGGAAGAATGGTTGGGGATGGCTTTGTTTTTGTTCACATGCTGTGCCGTCTTGTATTTTTAAGGATTTTAAAGTTATTTTCACTGGGTTTTTTTTGTTTTTTGGGGGGGGGGGTATGGTTGGTCATACCTTGGGGTATGAGGTGTTTCGAGACCAAATTTGGTGTCATTTAGCCCTATAGATTTTCTGTTTACACACACACACACACACACACACACACACACACACACACATGAAACAATCCTGCAAATATATGCATCACTTTCCAAGCTATGATCAAGTTCAAAGATTTATGCTTTCCTGAGTGGCTATGGATAATCAAGTCATGGCCTGTACATATGTACCTTGATAGTGTTTTTATCTTAAGACGTCTTGGTCAGATTATTTTCATTTAGCTTAAATTTTCCTTGTTACATTCCATGCTCATTTTATGCAAAAACCCAGACCTTATAATCTTCTTGCTTGTCTTCATTCTTGCTGCCTTTGTGCATTTTTAGAGATAACAGCTTAGCAGACATTCCACTCTAACCAGTGATTTCTTATGCCATTAGTGTGATGTGGTGTGGTGTGGAAGAGGGCAAGCTTTGCTAAACAATTAGGTTCTTTGTGTTTGGGAAATTTTATGCAACAATAATTATTCTACATGCTTTTTTGTGTGTGGGATTGTTTTGTTTGGTTGTATAACAGCAATGTAGTATGGTAATTGTTGCTATTCATTTGATTTGAACAGAATTTATGAAATTGTATGCACCAGATACTCAATGAAAGCTGTTAGTCTAATTTGAAGGCAATTCCCAAGCTAGATTTCATTTGTTTGTTTGTTTTTGAAATACTGTATATAAAATTACAACTATTGGGTGGTTACACTAGGAAGAACCCAACAGTGAAAGCACTGAAAGATCGCTAATGCAATGTGCTTTATGTATTAAAAGATTCAGTCTGACTAAGGGCTCTTCTATGTTGTGTTTCAGGGTTGGGGTGATGAATATTTCAGAAGTGGAATATTCATTCATTTCAGGACATGGGCTCGAAGTGTTATTTGGGTGGAGGGCAGGACTTTTGGATAAAGTAGTTAGAATTGAGTGTGGTTAACTGGCTGTCCTCCTGCCCCATATTTTGTCTATTTTAAAAAGATCATCTTTGCTCTATCTCATCTGTGTAATAGTGTAATGTTTTGTTGTTATTATTGCTTATGTTTTTAATTTGCTTGCATTGTATTGTTATTGTCTGTTGTTGTTGTTGAGGCCTTGGCCTTTGTAAGCCGCATCGAGTCCTTCGGGAGATGCTAGCGGGGTACAAATAAATAATAATAATAATAATAATAATAATAATAATAATCTGCAATGAGAGGCGCTATCTCATCTGCAATGACTGCCCTCTTCAGCTGTTTGAGGTAGTACTTCTCAGGCTTAAGTGGTCAGTGTAGCTGGATCTCAATGACTTTTACCGGCTTCAAAGGACAGTGGATTTTCCAATCATCATCATAATTTCTAATTAGATATTTTATACCAAAGCTCATAGGGTGTTATCCAGCCCATGCACATTTATCTTACTATAGACTTATCTTACTATATAACCTGCTATTCCACTAATATTGTTATTATTGATAGTGGATACATAGTTGCTATATTGAGCACCCTTGATATTGCGCCTTTCTTCATTAATGCAATTGTGCCAATTCACCAATTTTTGGTCCCATAATTATACTTCCTTGTATGATGTGATGTAGGGGACAACCATTTCTAACGTTGTAACTATATCTTTCTGAACTACTGTTGTACCTCATATTTTATTATTTTTATGTTTATTTCTATACAATTGTGCAATTCAAGCATTTAAGAACAAACAAAAAAGCAAACAAAAATATGAAATGAAAACATACATATTGAAAACAGCAAGGGGGAGGCAGAGAGAAGGATAATTCCCCCATCACTGTCTCAGAAGTAGAAGCTTTATGCACCAATGTAGGTGATGGAAACATTGAAGGATTCAGAGCTGTTGATGGTTTTTGATAGGATGCATGCACACTGCCAGTTTGCCTGTCTTGTGCAATAAAGTCCTATGTCAGCAAGCTGCAGTAAGAATATATATAGCATAATTCAATCTGTGCAGACAGATGCCAATGTGGAAAATGTTGGATGACCACATGGAAGTTGAGCAGTGAGAGGCAGGCTTGTGTAACATGACCTGAAGTATTTGCTTGCAGACCAAAATGGGATTCATAATTCAAGGACATGAGTGAGAGAAATGATTCAGTGTATATTACTGTTCCACCCGAATCAATTAGGATACTGGCAGCAGTAAATATGCATGTGTGTGTGTGAATACACATGCTCACTCTCACACACAGAGTTGACATTTTTAAATAATATATTGTAGCCAAGAAGAAGAGGCTTTCAAATATCCTTCATTGCACTCCAAGCAGAACAGCCAATGACAGATCCCGTCAATACAGCTCTCTGACAAGTAAATCAATGTTTTCCACCATCTTCTCAAGAAATGTCATTCAAAATTGATAATAAGATTCTCCCCAAGCAGTAGAATTTTGAGGTAGCCTTTCCAATTCTGCCATCATATTGGATGATTTACCCACCTTCTTACATTATTTAAATTTGAAGTGCTTATTTACTGCCTTTCTGTCCACAATGTATTTCAAAACAATGGAGCATAAAATATAATAAATAAATAAAAATTCATTACAAGTTTAGCAAAATAGTTCACATGGGTAACTAAGAAAGTGACACCTTTGCTTTCTGATGTTTCAATGTACATAGACCTAGTTTCCTGCACAAAATTGTTAAAAAATATTTTGTATCATATTACTTTCAGGCTATGCAGATAAAATGTATATGAAACATATATAAATGTCATGCTTGGACTTGAAACCCATCTCCAGTATTGTGTACATAATTTGTAAATGCAGGTATTCCAATACCCGAAAAAGAAAGTCTGAAACCCTAAACACTTCTGGTCCCAAACATTTTAGATGAAGGATACCCAACATGTAATAAGACTTTAAAAAATGGCTATGAAAATGAAAGACCAGATGTAATAATAAAGATTGTGGTAACTTACTGGGAGTTTTCCTTCATTTCCCTGCTGTTGTTTTTGCAATGTATCTAATATGTTGGAAGCGGCTTTGGGTCCCTTCATGGGAGAAAAGTGGGATATAAATAAAGAATTATTATTATTATTATTATTATTATTATTATTATTATTATTATTGGGTGCAAATTTCACAACTCTAGTAAGTGTATTGTGTATTTACCAACTTACCTTTTGGGAGGCTATAAAAAGGTTAGCTTGCTCTTTATTTGACAGGAATGTAACAAATATATACATTTTTCTATCCATTTTTCCCATCAAGATATGCCACTTAAATGTTATTAACCATTTTTTGCCTCTGCACATCTGGGGAAAAAAGGCCAAGAATCTTTTTTTATCCATAAGAGAAATAGAAAGCTAATGTTTTTCATGGGGAAAAATAGAACTAACAATTGTCAATGAAAAAAGCATCTATGAAGAAACCCATACAATTTTAACAAACAAAACTTTCAAAATGTCTCCATCATCATCACCGTCATTGACTCTGCACTCAAAAATGTCTACGAAAATGTGGGAAAATGGCTTATGTCGATAATAACGCAAATTAAATATTCAGCACAGCACTTTCATCCCATGCCCTGCTACAATTTGCAGTATCCCATTCCCTCGTCTTGATTTACAATTTGGCCATGTCTTATGGTAGTTGTCACTATAGGTCATTGGGCGTTGTTCTGAATTTTAAACTGTTGTTTTATATGCTATAGTTTTAATTTATTGTATTGTACTGTGTGTTTATGTTTTGTTCTAGGCACTTTGTGCCATATGTAAGCCATCCTGAGTCCTTTTGTGGAGATGGAGGTAGGGTACAAGAATAAAGTTATTATTATTGAATATGAAATAAGCAACAATTTGGATACGTACCTCCTGTGGTGCTTGGACACATAACATATAACCTTTGTTGGAAATTTCAAATTTTACACAGTCTCATACAGGAGCAGACATTTTTTCAGATATTCTGGTCATAGAGATTTAGAAACCTGTATTAAAGACTGCTAATTTCACCAGGATACATATAATGAGCTTTATCAAACACATGAGAAATGCAGCACACCTTTAAGCATTATATATGCCCCGGAGTGTGGTGGAGGCTTCTTCTTTGGAGGCTTTTAAACAGAGGCTGGATAGCCATCTGTCGGGGGTGCTTTGAATGCAATTTTCCTGCTTCTTGGCAGGGGGTTGGACTGGATGGCCCATGAGGTCTCTTCAAACTCTATGATTCTATGATTCTATATATAAGAAAAACATTCTAATGGCAATTCCTGCTGAAGCTTTTGTATAATATTTTAGAAATCTTTATACTAGATCATTCCCATCCAAGCAGCAAAGAAAAATGGAACACATTTTTGCAAAATAACATAGAATTTTCTTATACTCATGAACGTAAAATTGCTGAAATAGTTGGGTAGTTGTGTTCAGTTTACATTTTTTAAAGCCACTTCCAATTGTGTTGGATATATAGTCCCAACACACACACATTTGACAACATACTTTATTCCAAACAATATTTTGAATATTTATTTACACTTCAGTTGCTTGCATGCAATTTTGTTGCCATTTATGCAGACAATATTGACGAAGCCTACATGATTCATAGTATAAAAACTTCTCTAGGTGTTCTTTTGTCTAGGTTGGTTCATCAAGTACTCTGCTATGGCTGACTACATAGAAATCCACAAGCATGTGAACAATTTCAACAGAAAGGAGGAAACCATGAAAATGAATAAAAGATTTTGTGTGTAGCCCCCTCCCCCGCTGTTTCTTAATATCTGTTTGTACGTATATACAATACTTATGAAGTAGATACGACTTACGATTTATAAACCAGGATTTGCACACCCTGCATAGAATAGCAAATTCAGATTTAATTTTGTCCGCAGTTGTTGTATTATGGTGAAAAAGGAAGGATTAGCTTTCAACAATCATTTTCAACTGACAACAGCAGATTTCAAATTAATGCAGCGGAAAATACCACATTTCATAAGAGAACACTGTACTTGTTTTATTGTAGCCAGAAACCTTCTTGCACCGAAAGTCCATTTAGCATTCCAAACCTAATGGTTCATTTCAAAAATTCTGATTTGAGGTTGTTAAGTGACAACATTGTAACTACCTAGCAAGTTATTTACAAGACACAAACACTTAAAAACAAGGAAATTAACAGTTAAGGGGATCAAATATAATATATAGACTTAGGGACATCTTGCACCATCTGTTTTACGGACAAAAACACCCAAGTCAGCAGAAGGGGATACTTTAAAACACATGTTATGGCTGTGAGTCAATTTTCTCATCAAACTGATATAAAATGGAATGCCATAATCACACCAAAACACACTTATCTGTGACTCATGTATTACATGACTACTAATACTTTATTATATCAAGATGACTGCACTTTTAGGTGTTCCTCGGTCCTTTTATGAAACTAGATTTATTAATGGTGTATTTATCCTGTGGATGTTGAACGGAACACAGAATAATTGCATTCTGTTCTAGGAGTAAACAAAAGTGTCCCCATTTCTCATTACAAATCTCCCTTGGTCCATAACATGTTTCATTTAAAGTTACAATACTGACTATGCTTTCCTTGGTGTTGATATGTTATTTTTAAAACTGTGTAGATATACACAGAAGATCCTTGGAGATGCTCACAGTTGCTGTAGCCAATACAACACTTTTTGTTTAGATTTTCAGTGACAGCTCTTTGTGTAGTAGTTAGCTAGATTTGTCAGCAGGTAACAGATATAGACTTTGCTGCGAAGCCATGCTCAAAACCTTATCAGCTGAAGTGAATCCAAAAGAATCCATATACCTTTGAGAGCCCAGGGTCATCCTCATGTCACAATATGTTGACAGAGTGGTACTTTGTGAAATGTAGAGATAGAGAAGGCTTTCCTTTAAAAAACATCAAAAGAAGCCAAACAGCACACACACACACACATATATCCATTGAATCTTTTTAATCTTCAATCTTTTTTTCTTTTATACACCCAATCAACTTTTAAACTTTTTCTTGACTGTTGAGCTTACCTTCAAATATACGTTCACTGCTTTGTTAAGGACACATTCATACTATTGATTCCCATGTGTCTACTGGAATTTATCTGCAATGAGCCATTAGAATATTTGAGCTACAGATTTCACTAGAATGCTGTCAGAATTGGAGGAAGGGCCAAGCTCAGAAATACCTATAAAAATTATTCTCTTTGCAGATCATCACTTCATAAGTCCACCATAATATTCTAGGAGGTGTTTAAGGTTCCTGAATTACATATGAAGCACATACAGCACAATATGCCAAAAACAACATGCGCAATACATAATACAATACAATATAAAACGAATAGCATATAAAACAAAAATTTAAACTCATAAAAACAGCACCTAATAATCTATGGAGAAAACCCTCGTAAAACATGGCCAACTGTAGATGGGAGCAGGGGGATAGGGTAGTGCAAGTTGTAGCTAATAAACTAGGGCATGGGATGAAAATGCAGTGCTCTGTCATTAATTGTGAACCATTCAGGCTAGACATTCTCAGAGGCTTGTCCAGACATCCAAGTCTTCAATTCCTTCTGGAAAGAGGACACTGTGGAGGCCTGCCTAAGCTTCCCAGGGAGGGCGTTCAAGTTGATATGTTGTCTGCCTGAGGCATTATAAAATTATTTACTGAGTTTCTGGCATTTATTATAACAGACTTTTTGTTTTTTAAAAAAGGATTCTCCCTCACCCTGCTTGATCATCATAAATATGTACACATATAATATCCAATAGAATGAGTACAGGAAATAATGTTTCCATATTCATTGGTATATAATAGTTTGGCCAAGATGCATAACTTATTCAGTCTTTATGAAACTGTGAAATTTTGTGAAATTATATTTTGTTAATTGTATTCACCTGAGACTTCTTTCTCATACAACATGCATATTTAGGACAAAGAGAAAGAACCCACAGACCTTGACTCAGAATTCATTCTGGTTTCAAAGGGTTTTGTTGATCTTCACCCTCTATTTTTCACAGTTCTTCTTTGGCTTTAGTTGTGAGAGTTACAGCTCATGCCTACTGTATTTTTTCAGGAAAACAGAAACCATTCTTTGGGGTTGGATCAGTGAAGAAGTTTTGTTTTGAGACACTTGCTTGAGGAGATAAACTAATTCAGTAACTTTTCTGTTACTGTTTCTCGCATATCAGTATAATCTGGAATGAACATCAATGGATACCCTGCAGATGTAGTTCCGTTTGCTTGCTTTTCATTTTCTCTGAAGCACTTGACCATTTTTCGAGCTCTGTGTATTTCCTTCACTTTCAGAAGAAAGCAGACACTTTATTTATCTATGCACAAAGATCTGTTACTTTTTTTAACCCCACCCAGAATTAAGTGAGCCTAGGGTTCCTCAGACTGTCTCCAATATTATGTTATTTTAAATTTAAAAAAAACAACAGAGAGAATAAAACACATGAACAGGGCTTTTAGATATATAAAAGTACTCAAACTACACAGCTACAGTCAGTCCCTGAGTTACAAACATCTGACTTACAAACAACTGATAGCTAAGAGCAGGGGTGAAACTGCAAGAAATGAGAGAAATCTACCCCTAGGAAGGGAAATTAACTCATGGAAGAGTAATCATGGGGAAAAGGTGTCTCAAGTGAAGCTTTTTCACCAATCCTTGTTTCCACAACAAGCCATTTTTTCAAAATCCAGTTATCCCACGGACAGAAAGTGAGGTAAAATCTTCTAAACAGGGGCACAGACAGCAAAAGAAACTTGGAGACTGCCTGTATATATTGTCACTACAACTAAACAACAATTTACAAAACTGCAACTTTCCATTCTCTATCTGGTGGTTGTTATCCATGAATAATCCACTCCTTTTTTTTAAAAAAATAAAATAACAATGTTATCACACTTCTGTTTAAAATCAAACTCTACCAATTCATGAATTCTAGAGTTGATAAGTGTCCCCATTCTCATTGAGGAAAAGAAGTAAACGAGTCCTAATTATTTCTAAAGTTTTTCAAAGATTCCTTCTTTACCAGTATAAAGAATATGTCAATTTCTGCTATTTCACAATCCTTTTCACCATTGTCATGAATGACACCCCTTAAGCATACTTAATACCTTCCCCACAACTAACTGTGTCATACCAGGGGGTCAAGTGTCTCCCTTCTCCCAAGCCCAGAACTTAACCAAGAAGCTGAAATATACAAAATTCATATAAAAGATTTGGTTTTACATGTAAATTGGAATGATAACAAACATTTATAACTAACCGTCCCCTGCCACATGTTGCTGTGGCCCAGTCTGTGTATATGTGTTGTGTGTGTGTATTTGTGCATATGTGGTTTTGCGCATGCATTGTAATGTATTTTTTATTTTTAGCTTTTTAAGTCTCTTCCATTGTGGTTTTTCAGTGCTTTTATGAGTGATAGTTACTCGTTGGCCTAATAGGTGTATTGTGTCCAAATTTGGTGCCAATTTGCCCAGTGGTTTTTGAGTTATGTTAATCCCACAAACATACATTACATTTTTATTTATATAGATGACTTCCTAATCTCCTAAATCCCAGGAGACTTAGCTTGCCCAGCATTCTCCTAACTGAGGCTTTAAAGTAGAACCTGGTCATACAGAAATCATTAATGTATGAAGGGGGGGGGGCTACAAGTGCCCTAAAATCCGGTAATATATCTTCTCAGGGGTCCAATTGTACTTTTTATCCTTTCCCCTCATTGATAAATCTTAGACTAGCACATCCAAATATGCTTTTACTTCTCTGAAGGATGTGCAGTTTACCTAAATAAGGCATTTCAATCCACTTCAGTAATCCAGAATTCCCAGGCAAAGGCAGGTGTATGGAAGAAGATGTCCAGAGATGTCCACCCAAGAATACTTTAGAACCTTTGGAAAGGACAAATGAGGCAATAGCTGCCCAATATCCTGCATATTTTTCTAGCATTTTTCAGAGTAAAAAATCACAGAAGTATCTAAATGTGCTTTATATTTGGGAGTAAGCACTAGCTTTTTGACTTGGCCCAAAAACACAGAGTGTGGGGAAGAGAACCTAGTAGTACAATGGGTTTGACAACAGAGACTGAATGAAGTGGCAGTAGGAAAGGCAGCAATTTAGACCACCGACCATATTATATTTCTTGCCCTCTTATCCAGGTTGGATATAGTAGCATTAGTCTTTTTTAACTTTATGCACAAGTCAAGCAAACACACAACTTCTATGTTGCTATTTCTGTTGCCAGCTTTGATGCTGTTGCATGTAATTAGGATTCCTCAACCCTGAGGGACAAATAGAAAGCAAGAAGCCTTATTGCAAAACTTCAATAGAACAATGTGCTGGATAAAGAACCAGCTGGGAAAATAAGGGACTCTCCACACCAACGCAGTTGGTGGGGAGAGCGATTTGCCCCACCCCCTGAAGGGAGAGAATGGGAGGTTCCTTTTAGAACCTCCTGGAAGAGGGGCGGGGGCTGGCTTACCACGTGAGCCAGCCTCCGTCCTTCAGTCTTGTCTGACTTTCCGAGAGACAAGACGTGCTGCTACTTTGCTCCAGGTCGGTCCGGGAGCAGTTGGGGGAGGAGGAGCTGCTGCTCCTTCTCCTGGGGACTCACAGCGGAGCGTCGGCAGGAGGTTTTCCTCGCCGTCTTCGGCCCTCCTGCGTTGACCAGGCGGTGAGTGCGGGGGAGCGGCGGCTGCCGGTTCCCTCGCCGTGGTTCTCGCTCCTGAAGCCGGTT